AAAGAGAAAAGATGTCTTTAGAGGGTAAGATCTTCTGCTACATGCTTTTGCCTTATTGGCCCATTTAACCTAAACCTTCCTGAAAACTCCCACTGGAAGCGATTGGAATTCCTCACATGTCTAGGTGAAAAGGATTACATATATATGTTGAAAAGCTATCTTCCAGCTAAGAAAACATGAAGTCAGGGAGATATGTGAAGGTGGCAGAAAATATGCCAAATTATCTTTCAAATATTTCCTGGGAGAGGGAGGAAAGACAGGAGAAATAGGGCACCTGAGAAGCTTAAGGCTTACACAGCATCGATCGCAAAATCCTAAATTCCAGCCAGTTTCAGGTAAATTAAGCGATAGAGGAAAACCCAGTTAGGGTGCAGAAGGACTGGGCACTTCATAAATGTTTCCGAAGCAGCACTGGCCATGAGCACAGTGGACAGACTGATCCGTCTTGCAGTAGCAATTCTGCTGCTGCCTTAAAGGGGAAAAGGATGAGACAGGTTGGAGGAGTCTATTTGCTAATGATGGACACTGGAGCCAAACCAAGGTACTCCTGTGCTATATTTGCAGTTTCTGGACTAGCAAGCTCTTGAGCACAATTTTTAAAAGCTCCAAGGCTGAACAGGACAGGCTGCAACCGTCCTCAAGGAAAGGTTATGTCGAGCAGATTTAACCACGATGCGGGCTTGTGTCAATCCGCAGTCGCTTTCTGCAGGTCCAAATCCTGCAAAAGGAACCGCGGGGGCAAAGAAAACACTGCCACTTTTGCTGCCCACAGTCCTCTTTAAGCAGGCCAGCCAAGACAGATTTTTCTGTGGAAAGGGTCTCAGAGGGGACCAAGATCCCAGCTTTTGTTGCACTTTTTCTCATTACAATCTCATACTACTACAAAGCCAGGGAAACTGTTCTTAGCGCTTGAAACCATTTCCAGCTAATGAAGAGAAATGATGTACAGATAAGCCGAGGCTGGGACCACAGCTTCTGTGACAGGGAGCAGCTTTCCAATTTATTAAGTCTACCGCTATGAACTGAAGCAGAGCGTACTTTCACTAGTTCTCAGCATATACTATATCTAACTCACCCTCAGAGAGCTGGGGAGAGTAAGATTTATTTTTCTTGTAAGACTGGGTCTTCCAGGAAAAAGCCCTGTATAGCCGAGGATGGA